GGAACATAGTAAGTTCTTTCTTGATCTCCTGGTCCTATGGCCCCCAAATTATATGGACATTCAAACTGACATGAGAGACGGTTTTTGGTTTTCAGCGGCTACATGTCCCCGGAATATGCGATGGATGGCGTGTTTTCCATGAAGTCCGACATCTACAGCTTCGGTGTGCTGGTTCTAGAGATCATCACTGGCAGGAGAAACCGAGGCTTCTACGAAGAAGAGCTTGGTCTCAACCTCCTCCGTTATGTAAGTACTACAACTGTAAGCAGCACAATTTGCATGCTGTTTCTTTCTGAACATTTTTATCTAACCATGCTGGTCTGGTCATTTGTCCTTGTCCAGGCGTAAGTAATTAAAGAACTGTAAGCAGCACAATTTACAACTGTAAGCAGCACAATTTGCATGCTGTAAGTAATTAAAGAAGTATAGGTAAATGCTCGGAAGGTAAATGCGAAAGGAAAAAGGTTGAGGTACATTTTTTTTTCTTAGGTGTAAAAATCAGCACTCGTAACCATAACAATTTAAAAGAACGTTAAGGGTCTATCATAATCATCACTGTTGTAAGGGCTGAGCAAACTAACCCACTAAAACCATTTTACCAACATTGTCCTATTCTATCCCCCGAAGGCAACATCCATCGGTCAAGTAAATAATGGACAGGTAACCAAAGAAACTAATTAGCTAGTATCATTAATACAGTGACCAATCTAGCTTAAACATCCATCATGCAAGTAAATAATCAGACATATTGTGATTGAAACATTATGTCAAAAGGTAGCTGGAAAACAATCAGCCTACGAGAAAAATTAAAGGATATAAATTTGCCAACAGAAGGGGAAAAATGAGAAACTAAATTAGTAAACATGGTGTGCTGTTTATTCTCAGGCATTCCAACCTGCTTACTATCAGGAAAATCTGAGCATGTGTTTTTCATAAACATCAGGGTAAGCATGCCCTGTGTAGTGTAGCAAATCGAGTCACAATTTTTTTTATGTAAAGCATCTACCTCTTCCACTTCATCTTTTCAGTGGAAGGAATAAACGGTAAGGCAAAAGCATTCCAATGGGATAACTTATAGAAGTAATAATAGGGTGAACTACACTGAATCTTTTGAAAAAAAAATCAAAATATTTTGCCGCATAATACTATGTCTAGTAATAAAGAAACCGACCTGAGAAAACAATCATACAATTATAGGGTGAATTACACTATGTGTATGATTGGACACCAACAATACCTTGGCTCTTTCAGGGATCAGGTGACTCCTTGTTCAGCTCTTACACTCTATGAGCATGCCGCGGCTCTGCAGATCACAAAATCCAAACACCAGTTAGAGAGTTTCAGGACCACTCGCATGATGTTTTCTTCAACCAAACAATCAATATTCAATAGGTAGCGGCTGCCTGTAAGACAACACATAATCCAGTAAATTCCTTAAACCTTAATGAAATTGAGGTGGAAGGTTACCCATTCTCCAAAAGGGTAGAGAAACAACAGAGCATGTAGTATCCTGTATCCTATAAGAAATATGGAAATATAATCGTCTCATATAAAATTATCAAGTAGAGAGTTGACCTGTTACTATGTTATGGTCAATTGGTCATGGCACGGGCACTTTTTTTTTCAATATGACCGGAGAGAAGGAAAGTCGGTGTCCACATATATAAAAGGAAATGATCCCAGATCTTAGTACTGTACAGGCAACAGGAAAATAACCTAGCAGATCAAAACATGGAGAGGAGCCCTAATTATTTGTAAACTGAGATTCATCAATTCCTTTGCACAAACCATAGAAGAGGAAATTTACAATTGGGGTACCTTGTGCACGAACCATCGATGGACACCTGCTGATGGTGGGGCTGATCTTGCATATGTGTTGAACGAAAAGTGCAGAAACGTACTCTCTTTCTGCTTGAAGCTACTGATACCTGTGTACAGATCGAAAAGGAGGCTTGAAACTTGGTAGTAAAAGTAAAAGAGATCAACAAAAACACAACATTTTACCGCCAAAAGGTTTTTTGTGCTAAAGCACTGTCATAGGAAAAAAGACAGACGCTGGTTTCCTAAAATTAAACTGATTAACCCAAAAAAATATATAACATGCTTGTCAAGGTAACAGTATAGTATGTACCCTTCAACAGATCCCAATCCAGAGTTATCAAATATTAATCATGGCATTAACCTGCAGATCACTGGTTTTGATTCATTGTCTTTTATTCATGCAATCGTTCTGTAAATGAGGCTGCAAGAACTATTGCAGAAACTGCACAACATAGTGTTTGATTCAGTGCAGGGTAACATGTAAAAAGAAGTATGCACAATACTATCAGTGCTTGGTAGGGGATGATATGAAAGCTTAAGGCATGAGTCTGCACTGGTTTTTCCCCTACAAATAGCAACGGATGGCTCAGATGGTGGGGACGCTGGGAAAAAGGATATGCATGCATCAGTGTACTGAATAACTGTGCAGTACAATGTAGGCAAACATGTTGCACATGTCGTATATGCATAGCTGGCAAGAGGAGTACAAATACCATGAGAAAAGGTGGCATTACTGGAGCTCGGCATACTTTCAGTAAGTATAGTAGAACGATGCATAAGTGCCTGAAGATACCGTACTTGGGATCTTGATGCTGTTTGTCCAGGGGCCGATAAGCAATCAGGTGGTTGCTGCCTCATCCTTTGGTACAAAACGTGCCTAAAGTATGTTTTTAAAGAATTAAGCTGTGTAGTTGGGCACTCAACATCAAAGCAGTAGAATGGAATGGTAAAGGGAGGCATGTCTAGATCACACGGGTGTACATGAACAAATTAATCGTAGCTGGCCTGGTGTTCATGAACAAATCAATCGCAGCTCACAGCCTTGTATGAGCAGCGCAAAAAAGAAACTAATAAGATGGAGGGCATGGAAAAAAAGGGAGAGCAAATTAACAAACTCGTTCTGGTGTCTAATATCAAGTATGCAAACATTCATAGTATGATGAAAATGAGTACTAACTTTGTCTGCCTCTCTGTGGCATGATTGGCAAGGATCCTAAAGTCTTCTTGACATTGAATGAGAAGTTATATAAGGATTTTAGGTTTGTTCAATCTACTACCTCAATCCATGGCATTAGATTATTGAGAAGCAATTAAAATAGACATCTGTTAGAGGTTCGTACGGTCTTATCGCTTGGATTTTGTTAAGAGCATTGGAAATAATGTTGCTTCACTGGTAATGAAAATAGGACACTTACTAATAGATGTTGAATCTTTAGGAGGTTGGTATGCTCGTACAAATGCACATGCACTAAATTGGCATCTGCACATAACATCGGAAAATGAGAATAGAGAGGGAAAAAAGGGGGGACGCTGCTGGTCCACTCACCGTGTGAAAGCCGCCGCTGCAGGAGCGAGCAAGGGCGAAGCGCCGTGAGGGAACGCCGCTGCCACGGGGCTGTGCCGCGGCGACCGAGATGAGTCGATGCGGGCCGGCGCCGCTGCGTGGCCGCGCCTCGGCAACGATGGTGCGGTGCCGGTGCAGGAGCGCGCGAGGACGAAGGGGCAGGGGCCATGGGACCTCGCCGCCGTGGCCGAGACGGGCGGAGGCGGGCGTGCGCTGCCGAGGAGCCGGATGGCGGTGGGCTGGAGGCGGCGTCGTACGGATCGACGCACGCAAGGCCGTCGGGATGGGGAAGGGCGCCGCCACCATGGTCGCGGGGAGTAAGGCCAGCGGCGCGGCGGCTTTGGTGTCGCATCCGGGGATGCATGCCTGTGGCGGGCGCGGGCGGCGGCAGCGCGGCCTGCTGCGGGCGGGCACGGGCGCAGGGTGGGCGCGATGGGGGCGCGGCGGCGACCCGGCCAGAATCACGGGAGCGGGTTTTGTTTCCTTCGAGCGACATTTCTTTCCTTGGAAGGGAGACGGGCGTAGGGGGCGCGGAGAAAGATCGCACGGGCGGCAGGTAGGACGATGGACGAATGTCGCACCAAAAAGTGTTCACGCTTTGTTTTTTGTAGTTGTAGGAGATAGGTAGGCAATTCTTTGTTGTACCGTGAAGAATAATTACCAGTTGTCACAATGAAGAAATCCAAGAGCAGTTGATATCCCACTGGCTAAACATGCTTTTCAAGAAGATCAACAACTACAGTGATTGATTCAAGGAATCAGAATTCAGAATGATGACAAAGACAAATGGCATCACATGTGAGGTTCATAGGATTGTTCATCCAAAAAATTCTCACTGCCAATTCCAGAATTTCCAACCACCTGACCCAATCAAAAGGATATGGAGATCAAAGCACAGCAACAAGCTCTAGATTTTCTCACGGCTTCTTCTAGATGCCTGAACACCAGAAATATACTCAGAATCAGAACTACAGTGTCAATGGATATGACTATTATTAAGTGGGTACTGTGCCACACAAATATGGAAGAAACAGTGCTGCATCTCTTCTTTGGATGTCAATTCAGTAAAGCCTGTTGGCATTGGGTTGGTCTCACCTGGATCATGCCTCTACCTTTTTTCAGCATGATGACGCAAGCAGGAAAAAAATATTTACAGTTACCTTTCTTCATTCATGGTGATTTTTTTATAATAGTAGCCTGGAAAATTTGGAAGCAACGGAATGGAGTCAATTTTTTTACAAGAGACCCAACATATCTTCTGACATGGCTATCTTTCCTAATTGTCTCTCTATGTCCAGGTCTTCTCTCCTTTTTGTTAACTTTTTAGCCTTTGTATTTGTAAAATGCCTTTACATTTTCTTTATATAGCTACCAACAGTAGGGGTTTTCCCCTCAAACAAAGATATCATTTCTAAGCAATTGAGATCTTCACGTCAAATTTTTTTACAAATTTCTGTAGAATTCTATTCGGTGCTCTCAATCTGGATCTTGATTGAAGAAATGGACAAAAGAACCAATGTAAAAATTGCTTTATGTACAGTCTGCAGCTATCCTATACCTCTACAACAACCAATTCAAAACAATGCAAACAATCATTTACAGTAACCCGTTCAATCTATTCCTCATCACTACTTGAATCAGAATCTGCAGTATCCTTCATGAAATGCGCTGGTAGGTTTGGAAATCTTGGCATGACCCTCTTCCTTTTGCTATCTGCCTCTTCGGGTGGTTTCTGAGCTGGTGCTGCTTGAGCATCGGTGGCTTCCTTTGTCACTGACGCTGTCGCTGCTGTTGTGGCCGCAGCCACCACCGTGGGGGCAGCAGCTGTGTTTGGCTGCGATGACGATGGTGCCGGTTTCTTCTGCTGCACTTTCCTCTTGATGTCCACACATGCCTGATCAACCATACCCAGGAAGTCCCTCACTACGATGAACAGCTGGAGGGGATGTGCGTTCCGCTCCTTGGTGGCGCCGGCATGGTAGTACTCTGTTGTCTTCCGGACCAGCTCAAGTACTCTTTCCTGCTCCCTTCTTAGTGCCTTCAGCTCCTGTTCTGCAGCCTTCACAAATCCTCGCAACCCCCTCGCAAATCCATCATCACTGCAAGTCTCCAAGAGCCTCTTGATCTCATTGAGTCGGCTGTCTAGAATGGCACACTCGCTGACAACTGCATCGTAGTCGACCAGTGCGGCTCTCTTCACGTTGGCAAACTCTGTGCTGAGACCACCAACAATTGGTAGCCCCAAGTTCATGTATTCGTTCTGCCTTTCCTCCCGTGATGGCCCCTGGCTTGCAAAGCCTGCTGCTGAACTGCCTCCCTCGTGGCCAGACCTTGCGAGACTGCCTGAGCGGCGGATGCTGTGGTTACGATTGATGGCAAGCCGCTTTCCCTCAGAGCGGACAACCTCCTCAACGACGAAGTGCAGCAATGTGGTGCTCCCATCAGTGCTCTTCACGTCAGAGAGCTTGCGGAGCGCTGTAAGGTTGAAGGCCTGAGCGTTGCCACGTGCTGTTCCGGCATTCATCCTGTTTCCTGCCTTGAGCACGGCCTCGAGCAGCTTGAAGAACAGGCCCTTTGTCCTCAGCTCCTGGCTTGCCAATTCCAACGTCCGAAGCGAGTGCTTGAGCTGTGCAACCTCAGCACCATAGTTCACCTTGAAAAGCAGTGCATTGACACGTGCAATCGGATTGGGCACGTCAAGGAGGAGGCGGAGGAGGAAGGCCTCCGTAGGGGCAAGCCTGTCGGGGTTCCCAGAGAACTTCAAGATGGTGGACTCTTCTTCTTTAGAGATGTTGAGCCGCGAAAGCTTCTCCAGGACCTCAGTGCTGAGTTCTGTGTTCCCATCCCGGAGGGCGTCGATTATTTCATCCCGCCCCACCGTGAGGGACTTCAGGATGATGGAAATATTGTGCGACTTGCGCGGCTCGAGCAGGAATATTTGCTCCGGCGTGTTTGAGCGCCCGAGGCCGGCCGACGATCCAGCAGATTCCTTGGAGTCTGCAGATTTAGGCTTGCGGTTTGCTGCTGCAGTGCCGAATAGAGCCTCGATGATGCCTTCGTCCAAGCTGGAAAGACACCAGAATTGACACAGTAAGAAACTTGAGATGATATTCGATCCATCACAAATAACTGAATAACTATTGGGAAAAAACATGTGTTTTCTGAGCACTATGTAATACTAGTAAATTCATGTGAAATTGCTCGTATCAAAATTGCGGTAACTAATAGCTGACACAAGCTCGGTTTCTTCAATCATGCAAAGTGATGCCGTGCCGTGACAACTGACTAATGACTCCAATGGCACAAGTGGACAGAGACAATTCGGGGCCATCTTGATTGGGATTGCTTTATACCCTTGAATCCATGATTGCTTTCTAACAAGGTAAGGTGTCTACATTCCTATCATGGTTTGTACAACAAAATAGTAACAATAATATATGTCGGAGATCAATATTAGGGTAACCGAAGAGGACGAGCTAACGACCGTCGAACGTTGATTCATCTGCGCGATCAAGAGCACGACTACACCGCTTGCCGGGACACTCCTCGTCCGTCCACCGAGACCATGGGCCCCGCCTCACCCAACCCCCGGGGGCTGGCTCCGCCTCGACCGACATCTAAGGGCAGACTCCGTTTCGCCCGACCCCCGGGGGCTGGCTCCGCCTCGCCCGACGTCTGAGGGTAGACTCCGCCTCGTCCGACGTCCGGGGGCTGGCTCCGCCTCGCTCGACATCTGGGAGCAGACTCCGCCTCACCCGATGTCTGGGAGTAGACTCCGCCACGCCCGACGTCTGGGGGCAGACTCCGCCTCGCCCGACTTCCGGGGGCTGGCTCCGCCTCGCCCGACGTCTGGGAGTAGACTCTGCCTCGCCCGACCCCCGGGGGCTGGCTCCGCATCGCCCGACGTCTGAGGGCAGACTCCGCCTCGCTCGACGTCCGGGGGCTGGTTCCGCCTCGCCCGACGTCTGGGGGCAGACTCCGCCTCGCCCGAACCCCGGGGGCTGGCTCCGCCTCTCCCGACGTCTGCGCGTTGCTCCTTCATAACTACGCGCGTAGATAAGGCAGGGCACTCAAGTCAACCGCAAAACCGAGGACCATATCCTGCACGCCTGTAGGATAGTACTGTCAGGATATGACAAGACGGGCGCTTTAAGGCCCTTCCGGGCATGTCAGAGCCCGAACAATGTTGTGGGTGCCGACATTTGTTTTACAGTGTTGTGAGCGCCGCCATTGGCCCTCGGGCGCGGATCCTGATGAAACCATACGACAACCACTACGGTCCAAGAGGAGACTCGCATCCTCTACAGTGACGGACGTGCAGTCACCGCGCCGTCCGCTCCCCGTAGGGTTGCGGAACAACACCCCGGTCCATCGCGCCGCCCGCCGGGGCGGGATGGGGGCGGGATGGGACGTGACCACTTGCTGATCAAGCCAGAGCGTGGCATCATCAACGGATAGACGCCCCGCATGGAGCTATCCCTGGCACCATCTGCCGTGTCAGCAGGGCTGGCTCAGAGGAAAAGGAAGACCCGGCACCTTCGAATGATCTTCTTTGCCTCTGGTTTTTCTTCTTTCTCCCATCTGTAATCCCTGCTTCCTCTTGGTCTATAAAAGGGAAGGCAGGGTACCCCACTAAGGGGACAGATCAATAGAACACACCACGCATCACATAACACATAGCTGAGCAGCAACCAAGCTCTTAGCGTCCTTTCAACCTTTCCATCAGAGACTTGGGACCTGTCCCTCTCTCGCCCGTTTGTAACCCCTACTACGAACCTTTCAGTGCTATTAACACGAGCAGCAGCCGCAAACTGAACATAGGGACATTCTGCCCGAATCAGTATAAACCTTGTGTCTTTTAGCACACCATCCGGGTCCAACGCGCAATAATACAAATTTACTCGTTGGTGTTTACTCGAAACACCGACAGTTGGCGCGCCAGGTAGGGGACCTTTGCACGTTTCGATATTAACATTAGGTCACGGATGGCTAGCCACGATATCAGCTGGGTCCCGGGCGCACAAGTGCGCTTTGAGGACCTAGACTTCATCATCATGGTGGGAGGAGAGTTGGCATTGGCTCACGCCGCCATCCAACCTCTCCCTTCCATCGACCTTGACTACGGGAGGCTTGAGCGCCAGCTCGGCGTCTCCCTGGGACCCCAGCCGTCCAGGGAGAACCTGCACCGCCTCGCCTTCTCTGACGCCAACGCCATGGCACGGCTCACCGGAGGGGAACCCCTCTCTCCGGAACACCTCATATGGAGCGCACCGACAGTGCTTCCATTCAGTCTCCGCAATGCCGCAGCGACCATTAGCAACCTTGTGGCACAACGCATGTTCCCACCTCCCACAAGCGATGAATTCGTGGGGGTGATCGAACACGTCACGAAATCTTTCCATGACCTCCTAGCAGAGGAGCCAGAGTCGCTCTCTGGCTCTAACTCCGGCAGGGGAAGCCATCATCCCTCCCGTGAATGTTTCATGATGGGTGTCCCTGAGGGACACGTCGAGAGCATTCGCGAGGAGGAGGCTACCCCGGTGAACAACCTCGGCGACGAGGCCGAGGGGGAGACAGCGGCCCCACCTCGCATGTGGGTGGAGCAGCTAAAAGCTCGACACCGAGAGATAGAGGAAGCGTGGCTCCAGCTCGAGCAGGAATGCGCAGAGCTCGATCGGGAAATCGAGCGCCACGGAGAAGGCGGGCGCACACGCGCCATGGCCCGCGACGTGAACCGAAGGATCATCACTGACGATGAAGCCCTTCCTCGCTTCGCCTGGGCGAGCTAGAACATCGCCGCTACGGCAGCCTTGCTCCATGGTCTTTTAGAGGCCGCGACGCTCAAGGATCGTTGGGCCCATCACGAGATTCGCACACTGCTCGAGCGTGCGGCGACGCAACAGGCCAAAAGCTCGTTGTCTTGGCGACGCGAGCTCGACGCCAGTCAGCGCACGCCCTCGAAGCACCCCGGCAAGGACGCATCGGTCCACCAGGAGCCACAAAGAAGCAGGCAGCGCACCATGGTCCTACAACCGTGACGCACGCAATACCCTCGACGTGCCTACGATGACCCGAAAGTGGGAGCCAGCCATGGCTACCACCCTCGTCGTGGCGGACGCTACGACAGCGGCGAGGATCGAAGCCCGAGCCCCGGCCTGCCGGGGCCTCAGGCCTTCGGCCGACACATCCTCAATGTTGCCTTCCCACCAAGGTACCGGCAACCAACCAATATCCTAAAGTGCTCTGGGGAAACAAACCCCAGACTAAGGCTCGAAGACTATCGGCTTGCCTGCCAAGCCGGTGGTGCGAATAATGATGATTTCATTATCCGCAACCTTCCACTGTTGTTGGCCGATTCGGCACGAGCGTGGTTGGAACACCTGCCATCCAACAGAATATAGAGTTGGGTGGACCTAAAGGAGATCTTTGTGGGGAACTTCCAGGGCACATACAAGTGCCCTAGGAACCCATAGGACCTCAAGAACTACCGATAGAAGGCTGGTGAAACTCTTCGTGGGTACATCCGGCGCTTCTCCCGGTAGTGCAATGAGCTGCCTAACGTCGCCGACGCCGACGTTATAGGAGCTTTCTTGTCCGGGACCATCTGCGAGTCTCTGGTTCATAAGCTAGGACGTAAGGGCCCACGAACCACCAAGGAACTCTTGGACATCGCCACCAGCCACACCTCTGGAGAAGAAGCGGTCGGAGCAATCTTTGATCGTCTCGATGGCAAGGCGAGGCCGGAAGAGGATGCCGACGAAGGCGCCTCCAATCGTTCTGCCAAAAGGAAGAACAAGAAGCAACGGCGCGAGGACTCACTGTGGCCGCTGCTGACCGCAGGGGTGGTCGGAAGCCCGCGGAGGGCACTCTGAACCATTTTGAAAAACTACTCGAGGGGCCATGCCCGAACCATGCCTTCCCGGTCAAGCATCTGTACAAGGACTGCAGCCTCATGAGGCTGTTTTTGTCCAGAGGCTCCAACAAAGGAGAGTACGGGAAGGACCCTGACCCCACCACGGACAACACCGAGGGGAAGGACAACGTCTTTCCAACACCGGATGGCTGCCTCATGATCTTTGGAGGATCGGCGGCCTATGACTCCAAACGCAGTCAGAAGGTCACACGTAGTGAGGTCTATACGACCGAACTGGCCACACCTGCCTTCCTCTGGTGGTCAGAGTCTGCCATAACCTTCGATCGGACCGACCACCCGGAGAGCATCCCGCATCCAGGAAGATATCCGCTCGTGGTCGACCCGATCGTCGGCACAAAGCGGCTCACCAAAATACTGATGGATGGAGGTAGCGGCCTCAACATCATGTATGCCAAGACGCTCGACGAAATGGGCATCGACCGGACACGCATCCGCCCAACCGGAGCACCTTTCCACGGCGTCGTGCCCAGAAAGCAGGCCGTGCCACTTGGGCAAATCGATCTGTCCGTTACCTTCGGGGATCCGTCCAATTATAGGACAGAAACCCTCACCTTCGAGGTGGTCGGGTTTCCTAGAACCTACCACGCCATCCTAGGACGTCCATGCTACATGAAGTTCATGGCCGTCCCCAACTATACCTACCTCAAACTGAAGATACCGAGCCCTAGCGGGGTCATCACTGTCGGCACCTCCTTCCAGCACGCCTATGAGTGCGAGGTCGAGTGCTGTGATCACACCACGACAATCGTCACCTCTGGAGAGCTCGCCACCATCAAGAAAGAGGTCACCGAAGAAGCGCTCGACCCCAAGAAGTCGACCGGGCCTTTCGAGCCTGCGGTGGGCTCCAAAGAGATCCTCATAAATCTCGGTAGCCCCGATGGCAAGGTGGTATGCATCGGCACCACGCTTTCCTCTAAATAGGAAAGCACGCTCGTCTACTTCCTCCGCGCTAACAAAGACATCTTTGCGTGGAAACCTTCGGACATGCCAGGCATCCCAATGGAAGTCGCCGAGCACCCTTTAAGATCCATCTAGGCTCCAAGTCGGTGAAACAGCGCCTGCGTCGCTTCGATAAGGGGAAACGTAGGACCACCGGCGAAGAGATCACAAAGCTTTTGTCAGCCGGATTCA